GGCAAGTAGGAGGAGGAGAGAGTGTTTAAGAAAAGATTAAAGAGAAAGAGAAAACTTCTTTTTTTCATCAGTAAACATAATTCATTTTAGTTTATGCTTTGTTATGGGTATTGACATAATTTTTTCATTATCTCATTATGATATTGATTTATGGAATACACAAGACCAAGTCTGCATGGGTAACATTGCCCGTATTTTAAACGATGCATTCCAATTCCAAACAATGGTGTTATAAATTGAAGGAAAGTAACCCACTTTGGGGTTAAGATTCACCTATAATTGTTGAATGAGTCTGTGAAAAGTGAGTGAATGAGTGAGTAAATATAAAACAGATAAACTGAGGGTCAGAGTGGGGATATTTGGAAAACCATCAGCTTTATATAATTTACTCTTGTAAGAAGTATTTGCTATGTTCTATCAGTTTGCTGCCAGAGCATGTTTTCAAGATTAACCCAGAATAGCTGTCCCAAGTTAGACAGATTTGCAAAAGCTTTTTAGGCAAATGTGCAGTTGCATATTATGGGAGAACTTGATCAGATGAACCAAGCAGAAGGAAGAATGTCCCCTTGTGAACTTGCTGTGAAGACCTGTCCAAGAAGAGTAGAGTGGAAATCGAAGGTGGGGCTCGTCGTCCTTGCTCTTCTTTCTGAGTGGAAAGCAAAAGGTAAATAACATGGTCAAATGGAAAAGTAAATTGGATTTTAAATTTTTATATGTGTTTCCCCAGTCTGAGGTGCTCAGGCTTCATTCAGCTGTACAGTTAAAATTGACAAGATCCTTCAAACTGTGACACAGCCACTGGAGGGGTGAACCTTTCAGTGTAGCTATTGAGTGGATGTGTCTCCATGTTTAGATGTAAGCGTATTTATTTATGATTTAAATTATTCTTACTTCCTTCAATCCTAAATCATCCTAGAGTATGTATGTATCTAGAGGAAGTAATGCTATGGTTAGTATTTTCCATTGTATTTGATAGAGGATTTAACAATGAATGGCAACCCACTCCAGTGCTCTTGCCTGAGAGTCCAGTGGACAGAGGAGCCTGGTGGGCTACAGTCCCTGGGGTCGCAAAGAGTCAAACACGACTGAGTGACTAGCACTTTCAGACTTTCAAATGTAAAGTGATTTTCTTATTTCAAATCTTTTTCCAATTAATTGCCTTTTTTTAAAAAAATTGTTAATTTATTTGTCCTTGCCGGGTCTTAGTTGAGGCATGCGGCGTCTTTTATTTTCCTTGCAGCACACAACTCTTTAGTTGCGGAATGGAGAATCTTCAGTTGCGGAATGGGGGATCTTCAGGGAATGGGGCATTTTCAGTTGCAGAATAGAGATCTTCAATTGTGATGTGAGAACGCTTAGTTGTGGCAGGTAGGATCTAGTTCCCTAACCAGGGATCAAACCTGAGCTCCTGGGTTGGGAGCTCAGAGTCCTTAGCCACTGGACCACCGGGGAAATCCCAGTTTTAGCTTTCAATGGGACATATTCCTGGATAAAGAAAATCTTCAGTAGACTCTGTACATGTTTGGAGGAAGGCTTCAAGGATCTAGGATCTGGTCATTTTCTGGTTTTATAGGTTAAACTGTGTTCTCCCATTTTCATATGTTGAAGTCCCGGTCCCTAGTATCTCCAAAGGTGCTGTTGTTGACAATTGAGTTGTTGCAGGTGTAGTTGGGCTTGCCTGGTGGCTCAGTAGTAAAGAACCCGCCTGCCAAGCAGGAGACAGAGGAGACCTGGGTTCGACCCCTGGGTTGGGAAGATCCCCTGGAGGAGGAAATGGTAACTCACTCCAGCGTTCTTGTCAGAAAAAGTCTCTGACAGAGGAGCTTGACTGGCTAAGTCCATGGAGTTGCAAGAGTCTAACATGACTTAGTGAGTAAACAGCAACAACAGACGGTGTAATTCCTTAAGATGAGGTCATCCCGGAGAAGGGCAAGCCCATCCAGTGTCACTGGTACCCTTGTAAACAAGGGAAATCTGGACATGCAGGCACGCACAGAAGGAAGACCTTGGAGGAGACCCGGAAAGGGGCAGTTATCTCCAAGCCGCGGTGAGAAGCCCAGAACAGACCCTCCCTCTCAGCCCACAGAGAGAACCAGCCCTATTGACACCATGGTGTGGGGCTTTTTTGTTCTCTAGAACTGACAGACTGACTTTCTGTTGTGTGAGCCGCCCAGCTTGTGGTGCTTTGTGATGGCAGCTTTAAGAAATGAGTCTGCTTGGCTATGTGATCAGCTAAGCGGGGGTGGCTATACAGGTGCCATAGGTGCCCCCTCCCCAAAAACTGACTTCGTTTTGGAAATTCCAGCTCCATACCCCACCTCTTAGTACTTTCCTTTTTCTCTGTAATGTCAGATATTTATGTCTGATGAGGCCGAGCTCTGATATAATAATTTCCCAGGGAGGTCTGTGGTATAATCTGACATGTCCTGAAAGAGAATGAATCCATTCCCTGCTTTGTGAGATTTATAAGCAGCAGCTTGAGACCATGTGGATAAGGTACAGACCTCATGGAGGGGCTGGATTCTTACCTTGACTCTAGCTGTGTGACCTTGGACAGTTCACTTAACTTACCTGAGTCTCAGCCTTTTCCTTTCAAAACAGACGATCTCTGTCTTTTTGTGACTCTGTGAATATAAATTCAAAAACCTGGACTACACAGGACAAAGTAAGCATTGTTGTTTAGTCTCTAAGTCATGTCTAACGCTTTTGCAACTCCATAGACTATAGTCAAGCCAGGCTCTCTGTCCATAGGATTTCCCAGGCAAGAATACTGGAATGGGTTGCCATTCCCTTCTCCAAGGAATTTTCCCAATCCAGGGATCAAACCCTCGTCTCCTGCTTCACAGGCAGATTCTTTATCACTGAGCCACCAGGGAAGCCCACAAAGTAAGCGTGCATGCAGTCATAACATGTAGCAGCTCTTTTCCACTTTCATATTCTCCAAATAAAAATGCTCTTGGTTGCAGAAAATGGCAAAGTACAGCACATCTTATAATGAATATCACAGGCTCCTGCTTCAGCCTAGTTACAACTTGTTTTAACGAATCCCTGCCCTCCTTGACTCCTCGCTGACTTCCCAGAGGAAACCACTTTGAACAGTCTCCATGTTTAGCTCTTTCAGTGGTCACCGCCCTCTCTTTAATGATATGCTTGCGCTACATTTCCTTGATGATCAACTCCAGACATTAGCTCTTTACTCCCCACCACTTACTAGTTTTAAAGTGAAGAATCACTGATTCAGCAGACATTCCTGATAGCCTGTGGGTCAGCAGGCCCATTCAGGAGTCTCACTCTCTGTGGATCTAATTTGAGAATAGAACTGTAGCTTCTGTCAGAGGGAAACCAGGGATTAGCTGATTTCCACAGGGCGTAACACACGATGTCAGGAAGGAGTTTGGCTTAATTACCCAGCCTCAGATCAGGCCCGAGTTGTTTTTACTCCTTTCTGCTTTTCTGTCTGCACATGTTTACTTTAAATGAAATATAATAAAATATTATATGTTATTTTTATAAAAAAATTATATCTACCCTGATAGATCATCTTTCATAAAAAAATTTGAGATGCTCAACAGGTAAGGTGTTTGATTCTTAAATACTGACGCAACTGCTCTGAAAGTGTCCGTTGATATTCACTTGTAATACTAATTTGATTTGGTTTTGCAACTGCTCTTTTTCAGAAAATTGTAATTGACTATCCAAAGAGTAAGATACAGAGTTGAAGAAACCATTACTATTTCTTGGAAACACAGCATTTCTGCAATACATTTTTTCTGGAATTGCTATTACATAAATGACATTGATTTATAATTTAGAAAACCTCTTTATCATCCATAATGTCAATAAAATATATTTTATAAAAATTATCATGTTGACCACTTGGGGTTTCTTTGAACTTGTTCAGATAATCTGACCCATGTCTGCTGTTCCTTTCTAACTCTTGATCATGTTAGATGTCCCCACCAAAGTGGGGACAGAAAACACTGACATTGATGGAGTTGTAAATTTAACTATCATGCATACCATTGCCACATATTAAGATATATATTAACTGACAGCTTAATGGGAGATGTTAAAGGATGTGTCTACAAATGGGACAAACAAATGTGGTGGTGGAGTGAAAAGAAACGTATACGCACTGCTATCTTTAAAATGGGTAACCTACGAGGACCTACTCTACAGCACAGGGAACTCTGCTCAATATCATATAACAACATAAATGGGAAAAGAATGTGAAGAAGAATAGATGCGTGCATGTGTACAACTGAATCACTTTGCTGCACACCTGAAACTAGCATAAAATTGTTAGTCACCTGATCTCCAGGACTCCGATGTATAAAAAGAAATGCAGAAGGAAGAGTTGGGTTTTCAGCACTTTTTGCTATTTTCTAGTCCCCTTTCTAGGACTTCCCTGTGGCTCAAATGGTAAAGAAACTTCCTCCAATACAGGAGACCTAAGTTCAGTCCCTGGGTCAGGAAGATCCCCTGGAGGAGGGAATGGCAACCCGCTCCAGTGTTCTTGCCTGGAGAATCCCATGGACACTGGAGCCTGGGGGGCTACAGTCCGTGGGGTTGCAAAGAGTCAAACACGACTGAGCAACTAACCCAAACACAGCCCTCTTCCTGGAAATTCTCTCTTAGTTCCCTAACCGGGGCTCAAACCCCCATCTGCGGCAATGAGAGCTTGAGTTCCCACCAGTGGACTGCAGGGAAGGCAGGTCCCCCTCGCCTCGTTGGCCTCGTAATAGCACCCTGTCCTCTCCTGCTCTGCCTTCTTTTTTCCCAGTAGCTCATCACCCCCCATGTGTCCCTCATAGACTTTGGCAAGGGTCTGTATGTAAAATCTTTTCTACTTCCATAGTTTCAGCTGTTATTTATTTGCACACAATTATCAGATCCCTTTCTCTAGCTGTTGCCCCCTATCGTGAATGAATGGCATGCCAAATGGACATTCCTGCCTGAGTGAGCCAGAAATTTCTCAAATGAGGTATGCCACAAACAAAATCATCATCTTTGACTCTATTCTTCAGACTTGCCTCCTCCCAGTGCACTCAGTGGGGTTGCAGTCTCATGTTTTGCCCATTTACCTGCCCCAGGAAACAGGCTGGCACACCGCATCTGCTGGTCTCTGAGTGCGGTTCATTCTGCCTGCACGGTGTGACCCTGGTCCTCCCCTGCCCACATGGTGTGACCCTGGTCCTCTCTGCTCACACACACTGTGTGATCCTGGTCCTCTCTGCTCACACACACTGTGACTGGTCCTCTCTGCTCAAACACAGTAACCTGGTCCTCTCTGCTCACACACACTGTGTGATCCTGGTCCTCTCTGCTCACACACACTGTGACTGGTCCTCTCTGCTCACACACACTGTGACCTGGTCCTCTCTGCTCACACTGTGACCCTGGTCCTCCTCTGCTCGCCCTTCGCATCCCACCCAAGGATTCTCATCCTGCTCCTTGGCTGCAGCGGTGTCTTCAGAGGTGCTGTCAGCCATCAACTCCCCTCATCCTCCACTGTTGAACTTCATTTTATGTCAGAACTCTTTTACTTAGTAGAAGTTGTGATCATCATATTTGCTTGATCACTAGCGACTGTCAGGATGCCACCAAAACGTCACAGCCTGACATCCACCGCTTCCTCTTCTGTCCCCACTGGGCCTGGCACACAGCAGAGGCCTGAAGAATAAATGAATAATGAGCAAAAGAAAGACTGAATGAGTAAATGGATGAATGACTCAACAGGTATTGAGCCTGCCAAAGATATTCTTATCTCATACTGCCAGGAAAGCTGTTTCCTCCTTCTAGAATGGGTGAGATTCCAGCCATAAACGTGTCATCTTTGTGAAGTCTTTCAGACAATCCAGACTCAGTTTTCTCTCAATTTCTGATTTGAAGACATGTTATTCTTACTACAGTCTTAGCGGTTAATAAACATCATGGTTATTTACGTGTGTGCTGGGTGTTTAGGGACCCTTGGATGCTTTAAGGCAATGGAGACTCAAACTCCTAACACAAAGCCTGGCACACGTGGGAAATCAATCCATGTGTGGATTCCCACCACCACTCATTTCTTTCAGACTCTCATTGTATCTCTCCTGAAGCTCTGTGATGCCGTCATAAGAATTTACCCCATCTTCACTCTCCCATCCTGAAATCTATTGCCAGGGATTTCCCTAGTGGTCCAGGGTTTGAGAATCTGCTTTCCAGTGCAAGGGCTAGGGTTCGATTCCACACGTCCTGCAACGAAGACCCAGCACAGCCAAAATAAGAAAAGGGAAGAAAAACCTCTACAGAAAGGCTTCTCTTCACAGCCCTGCTCACTTAATCGTTCTGTCCTGAAAATGAGAAGTTTGCAAAAATGCAAGAACACTGATGAAATCAGGGGTCAGGACTCTTGGTTTAGAGATTGTTGCCTTTTTGAAAGCATCTGAGTTTCCTTCTTTTGGAACTCTGATAGTTTTAGAGTAGTAGGTATATGAGGTTACAAAATGAAGAGAGTGTCATTTTGTGGGGCACAGGAGGTCTTTCAATGAATCTTTGCTGCCTCACCATTTTGCAGTATTTGTACTTTGAGAGTAAATATAGAGTTAGCAGGAAATGTTACTGGGAACAGGAAGGAGGCATATCTCAGGCTAAAGTGAGATTCATCACTCTGTACTTTCCCTCCTAAGAAGTCTTGGAAACCACCTGAGTTGTAGCAGATCAATACAGTTATTGCAGTTTGGGGCTTCCACTGTGGTTCCGTGATAAAGAACCCACCTGCCAATGCAGGAGACATAAGAGATGTGGGTTCAATCCCTGAGTCAGGAAGATCCCCTGGAGGAGGAAATGGCAACCCACTCCTGTATTCTTGCCTGGAGAATCCCACGGACAGAGGAACCTGGTGGGCTACAGTCCATAGGGTCGAAGAGTCAGACGTGACTGAGCGGCTTTGCATGCAGACATTGCAGTTTGAGGAGGTTGTGCTCATGTGTGCACAGTCTTGATGTGGCTGAAGCAAACGACTGGATGTTATTGACAGAGCTGAAGTTGGCAGAATAGCCAAATAAGTTGGAGACTTGAGAAAGAGGAGAGTCCAGAGAACCATCCTCTCACCAAAGCATTTCTGCTGCTACTGCAGATGCCACTGCTTACTGGAGTTGCTTATTACTTCAGTTGCTTTTGATGGTGCTTTAGGGGATGTCATTACCCTTGTATTATCTAAATTTGTCCCTGCCACCAGTGACTGGACAGCCTAGGGCGTTTTCACAGGCTGCCTGTTACCTGAGAGTTGGCATCAAGTTCCTTGTATTAGAAGTAGATATTTCTCCAGGGATTTAACCTCCTGTGCAAAGTCTGAACCACTTTGGTGGGAAGAATGTGTTCCTAATCATGTTTGACCATCACCTGTGGCTTGCAGCGTGCTTACTGCTTATTAACTCATTAATCCTCTCCATGAACCCTGTGGGGATGGTGGACCTCAACTCTTGCTTTCTTCCTTCCAATGGTTGTGAATTAGAAACTCAGATTTGCACAGGCAGGATAAGTACAGGCATGGCCAATCTTGGGAAATGACCATACCATTTTGAAGTGCATGGAACTGACATATTTTAGCATCTGATTCCTTTCTTTTCCTGTAACACCTAGATGGCTCTTTATGGCCACCAAGCAGAAGTCCTCATTCAGTAAATCTGTCAAGGAGAAAGGGCTTTCCAGGTGGCTCAGTGATAAAGAATCCACCTGCCAATGCAGGAGATATGAGTTCGATACCTGGGTCAGGAAGATCCCCTGGAGGAGGGCATAGCAGCCCACTCCAGTATTCTTGCCTAGACCATGGACAGAGGAGCCTGGTGGGCTACAGTCCATGGGGTTGCAAAGAATTGGACATGACTGAGCATACACACACATAACTGAAACTGGGATATTAATTATTTCTACTTCTAGGTAACAGTTTTATTTTTGTCCCTTAGATCTGAAAGTTGAAGGTGATTTCTGAGGATCTGCTTGGTCACAGGGCCTGATTTAAGTCAACATGCTTCTCAGATAACTATATTGCCTTCTTATCATTTTCCTAATGAAGTGTGCAGAGCCCAAGGGCATGCAGACCGTTGATGCATCTGTGTGTGCTTTGATTCATGTGACAGCAATGTGCTAAACTCCTGGGGTGCAGAGATGGCCAGGCTTAGGAGAAAGAGCAGGTGGGCTGTTTAGCTCCAGGCCTACGTGTTCATGAAAGGCCTCACATGGAGACACCTGACATTGTCCCCAAATAAGTCTTTATTTTGGTAGTGAATAAAGGTAATTTGTGAATTATGAGCATTTTAGACTATTTGAGAGTTTTGGTCATCCTGCTTTGACATGTCTTAATTCCATAGCATAATGAGAGTTTTGAAAGTGCAAGTGAGCAGGGCCGGGTACCACCTCAGGGAGATTTAAGGATTGGCTCAGACACCCTCCCTGAGTCTCATTGCGACACAGGATATCAGACATCCTTTCCTCCAAGAAAGAAAGAAGGTGGTTTGCCGGGATGAAGCAGCATCTCCCGGTAGCAGCCACGAACTATAAATGTTAGATGGCTGGAAAGGGCTGGAGTCGGCCTCTGGGGAGTAGACCTAGAAGGTGCGGGACGTCGTAAAGCCAGCACGGTGGCTAATGGCAGAGTGAGACTGGGCTGAAGACTTGCTCATCTGATTGCTCAGACCTTTCCTCCATTCAAAGGGACCCTCGGCAAATGATACAGTGCTTTCCCTTGCTGGTGGTCCCCTAGCTCACTCTGCTGGATCCCAGCTGACTTAAGTTTACTTCCCCCTCCCTCCCTTTTCTCTCCTCCTCTCTTTCTGTCTCTCTCACTTTCTCTTGTTCTTGTTTGATGGGGTGCATCCTGCTTTGTACTTATTGCCAAAGTCCTCTCACCGCCCTACTCCGTTGTCCTTACCAACAGTAGAGGCTGGGCCACATCAAACGCCCAAAGCTGGGTTTTGAACAGAACAGCGTTTGTGCTGCGCCCTTTGATCTCGCCTCTAGTGCCTGGGGCTGGAGGAGGGCTTCTCGAGGATGAGGCACTGGCTGGGGCCAGGGTGCCACTAACCTGAGCAGAGAAACGGTGCCTCTTGGATGAAAAGCCTGCAGCCAGGTTTTCTCAGGGAGTCCCAGCTGCATGGGGAAGAGGGAGGGGAACAAAACACAAGCCCCCGCTAGTGCCCTCAGATCACACCAGACAGCCGAGGCGGGAGTGACACGTACCTTCCTGTCCCACGTTTACTGGGTCTCTCTTTGGGTTTCTGACCAGTGCGGAATGACAGAAGTTTAACCCTGTTTCCCCTGGGGTTCTGGAATTATCGTTAAGCCGCCTGGTGAGGAGCGTCACCCAGTGTGCCGGAGGCTTTTCAGGCTCAGCGTGCAGACGGCCTGCAGCTGCTCCCCTGGAGACATGCTCGTGCTCTTCGGTTTCAGACTGCCGCCAGGCCCCCGGCAGACTCCTCGGGCTCAGCCTCGGCCCCCGGGCTCAACCTCGGCTCCCAGGCTCAGCCTCGGCTCCCGGGCTCAGCCTCCGCTCTGCGCTCAGCCTCCGCTCCCGGGCTCAGCCTCCGCTCTGCGCTCAGCCTCGGCCCCCGGGCTCAGCCTCGGCCCCCGGGCTCAGCCTCGGCTCCCGGGCTCAGCCTCCGCTCTGCGCTCAGCCTCCGTCCCGGTCTCAGCCTCCACTCCCGGGCTCAGCCTCCACTCCCAGGCTCAGCCTCGGCTCCCGGGCTCAGCCTCCACTCCCGGGCTCAGCCTCTGCTCCCGGGCTCAGCCTTCACTCCCGTGCTCAGCTTCCACTTCCGGCCACAGCCTCCCCTCTGCGCTCAGTCTCCACTTCCGGCCACAGCCCCGAGTCTGCGCTCAGTCTCCGCTCCCGGGCTCAGCCCCCAGTCTGCGCTCAGCCTCCACTCCGCGCTCAGCTTCCACTCCGCGCTCAGCCTCTGCTCCGCGCTCACCGGCTGTCATCTGTGGCCCTGTCTGTGAGTCGGTTTCTGCTGCCTTACTCCGTGGTCCCCGCGGCTGCAGGAGGGTCTGTCCAGGACGCAAAGCTGGACGCGCCAGTCTCCCTGGCGCCTGAGCACCCGGACGCTCTGAGCGCTCTGAGCACCCGGCCCGGGAGCGGTACTCCCGCGCGCTGCAGCAGCGGGGCCACGCAGGAGGGGACAGTGCCTTCCCCGGGCAGGTCGGGCGCCTCGGTCCTTTGCTTCAGAGCGCCTCACCCCCGGGACATGCCTTCACCATGGTCACATCTCACTTGTTCTCAGATTCAACTCTACTCTCTCCGCTCTTTATCACATCTTCTGAACCTCTCCGTTAGCTGGTGGCCTCATCCTTTTACCAGGAGTGTGGCTTATTAGAAAGAAATGGGCTTTGGAGTTAGACCAAACAGATCTGGAGAACGCGTTTTGCTTTGAATCTCGGTTATGTCACCCATAGCGTCCATAGCCAACTTTATAGACTCCTTGATAGGATTAAACAAAATGGCACTGTTTCCAAGAAAGATTAATTTCCTTCTCCCAGCAAACTTACAGAGATAGAGCACAGTGATTAAAGGAATATGATCCTGGACCTCCCTGGTTGTCCAGTAGTTAAGAGTCCGCCTGCCAGTGCCCGGGGACGCGGCCTCGATCCCTGGTCCGGGAAGATCCCACATGCTGCGGAACAGCTAAGCCGGAGCACCATGGCTCCTGAGCCTGTGTCCTAGAGGCCAGGAGTTGCAGCTACTTAAATCTGCGTGCTCTAGAGCCGTGCTCTGCCTGTCAGTGCTTTGTGGGTTACTTGGGAATATGAAATGAGATAGATGTGACGTTATCCTGTTTGGCACTTGGTGATCATGCGGTGGATGTTGGCTGGACTCATTTTGTTCCTGTACTTACCATTTGTTTATGTTGTTCTTTCCTCATCAACTAGAAGTTTCCTAAAGAAATCAGACTATGCCAGCCTATGTGGGTATCCTAAGGGATAACCAGGAAGCATGGAATAAACATTCAGAAGTTGTTTCTTCAAATGGATGAAACCAGGAGCATTTCATCTGAAGTTTTCCTCCTGTACTACAGTTCACAGGCTTTCCTGGTGGCTCAGTTGGTAAAGAATCTGCCTGCAATGTGGGAGACCTGGGTTCAATCCCTGGGTGGGGAAGACCCCATGGAGAAGGGAAAGGATACCCCCTCCTTTGGGGATAGTCTGGAGAATCCTGGACTATATAGTCCCTGGGGTCACAAGGAGTCGGACTCGACTGAGCAACTTTCACTTTCTTTCACTTTCACTACAGTTAACAATACAAGTTGGGCTTCTTCTGGGATGTTTCCCCATTTTTCTGTCCACCCCATCCCCTCTTCATGATCCATTAAAAACTGGCTCCTCTATGAAGCTTTCCTCATGTTTCCCCAAGTCCATTCAAATCTCTCCTTTAGATCTCAGTACCTGTTTTATTACTTTTTTGTTATTCAGTTGCTAAGTCCTATTTGACTCTTTGCGACCCCATGGACTGCAACACACCAGGCTGCCCTGTCCTTCACCGTCTCCTGGAGCTTGCTCAAACTCATGTCCATTCAGCTGGTGATGCCATCCAACCATATCATCCTCTGTCGCCCCCTTCTCCTCACTCTTCCCCAGAATCAGGGTCTTTTCCAATGAGTCAGCTCTTCCCATCAGGTAGTAAAGTATTGGAGCTTCAGTTTCAGCATCAGTCCTTCCAATGAATATTCAGGTTGATTTCCTTTAGGATAGATTGATACTTTTAAAATTAA